ATTTTCTGGATTTTCAAGCGGGGATTCGTTCTCGTAAGGTCCAATCGGAGACCTCGTGCCGAGGCCTGTGCGTAAGGTATTGAGAGGCGGCAAAGAACGACCAGAGCCGACGGGACATTTGGCTTTGGTAGGTTATCTCGGCTCCTACCCAATGAAACCCCCAGCCATGTATTAATCTGCTCAGAATCATATGGAGATTCCAGACGACAACTGCCCATCACGAATTATTCACTTTCTGTTGGTTTTCATTACTTTTATTTGACGTACATATTTCTATATAGCTCTACATCATAATAACCATTACCTCCAACGATGTATGCCTTTCGAAATTCTTAAAGACATCTGAACTTCTACCTTTAATACTACAGCTCAACATTTTTCATAAAAAGAACTCCTCATCATTGTCTTTAAAATCCATAATGTACTAAGATATCTCTTTAACAATAAAGAGAAAAATTTCCTCCCGCTATTGGTCTTATAGCTCTCGATCTAAACTTCTAGTGTGTAAAAAAGTCAATGTCCGGCGCTCCAGACCTTGACTTACTCGAACTCTCTTAGGTGAGGATCGTACTCTTTCTTCGCTTATTAGTGAAGGTGACCAGGGCCGTGGCTTTACGTATCTAACCTATGTCCTTAGCCATTCTGAGCACCCCTTCTTCAGTAGTTCGGAAGCTACAAAGAATAAAGAAAGACTATAATGATAAAATTTACAAAAATTCCTATGTACGGTCTCTGGTGCAGATTGCGTTAAGATTATCCGCGGGCTATTCAAATTATGAATCTCGGTGCTATTTAAATCATGATTCTCGCGCATAGTACCTAAAACACTGTCAATAAGCGTCAAGTATAAACAAATTGAATCTATGTAAAGGACTTCAAGACGAGAAATAGTTACTGGAAATGCCAGTGTAGCTCAAACTTAGATCCACTCTGTAATTCGCCCAAAACTGACTGCACGAGACAGGTATGTGAAGAAAGAAAACGCACTATAAGAATGGCAGTTTCGACAAAAGTTCTCGGGAAAAGATCACAAGGAAGGCTAGAATTGCAGTGGATGAACAAAATCAGTGCTGACTTAAGAGAACTTGAAATAGAAGAATATCATTGCCTTGAATCGAGACTCTAGAGACATCGGACTCGTGTAGTAGACCCTGCTTGAGTTTAAAGTACGAACGAAATAGTGTGATATCCTATAATGAGAATTGAAGAACTCGCTATTGATTCCTGTCCTTTTCAAAAATAATTTAGAATAAATAGCCAACAAGGTGCCATAAACTTCTAGCATCTTTGAAATCTTAACATAGTTCTCTTCGCATTGCTATTTGCTCCTGCTGGTATTCCCAAGCTAATGCAAGTAGAGCAACAATTTCTTACTATCCTGTCAATGAAGCTAATCATAAATAGTGAAAGTCTGATTTATCTTAGAAGAGGACATGAATCAACTTTGAAATGCAGCGTTTTACATCAATTCTGAGTGACGGAGATTCAAAAGGGACAAAAGGATTGAAATCAAAAGTTATATTTTGATGCTTATTTACTATAAAGATTTTCTTCTAATCGTTGTGTGGTAAGATTTTAATGCAATCTTATGGTTGTGTTTTGCTGGCAGATACTGCTGAAGGATTGCTGGAGGTTCGAAAGAGTTAGCAACCCTTACACCTTATAAACATAGCACGGATGCAACACATTAGAATACCGATTCTAAACACGAGCAGCAGCAGTCAATGGTTGAATTTGACAAAGCAATTTTTCAAAAACTGGAATACCAAGCGGGATATGATCCTATATCGACCGTGTCGTTATGTGCTAATTTGCCTGAATACTCCCAACTTTCATCACGACGCCTCATCAAGCAACATTTTTTTGTAAACCTTATCACTCACAGCTGTATTTAGAGCCATTGCCGAGAAATTGCTAACTCGAAACTTTTTTGATATGCCTATCAATGGCAATCAATAATATATTGGGCGAATATATGAAGAAGATGATCAATCACCACACAAAACTGAAAATTTCTTGTCTTCCTGGACATGCTCTCTTTCTAGCTGCAACAAATATTTTGCTGTCCTGCTTTCCGATTGCTCACATAAGCACACTCTTAATTTTAAGAGCTTCATTATAAACGAGTAGATCAAACAGTGAAAAATAACTAAAACTTGGTCTGGGGTCTAGTTTCGATCCATTTCTTAAGAGCGGGATGCGAGCGAATTTTCTCGGCATGAGCCTTGATCTGGAATTGAATGAGTCAGATGAAAATTTCATTTGCAAATAGTTAATTCTTGTATGAAGTTGCGGAAACCAAGTCAAGTTGTTACCTCCGGAAATCCATCGTATAGATTGGGGACGTTTTTGGAGAACTCAGCGGAAAACTCGGCAAGAAGAAGATCGGCTATGGTTATGGAACTGCCAACGAGGTACCCTTAGGGAAGAAATTACAAAAATTAAAGTAAGGAGATATTTCTTTCAAAAAATAAAAAACACACCAGTGTTGTTCTTTTTCAGAAAGTTTGTCATAAATCCAAAAAA